CTAAGCTCAATAAATGTGGAGAATCGTGAAGTTCCAATCTTACTCAATAGATGGCGGCACTAGTCAACGCTGATGCATGCTGTGCCGCATGTCACAAATAGGCTGCTGATTTTGCTGCCATATTCCTTGCCACCACCAAAAAGTGTCACCACTTTGGCCAGGCCCATGTCGTCCCCTATCTCCCTGTGTGTCCAAGCACAGATGACGTCACACGAAGGGGCGGAGTCGGGGTGAGCCTGACGCAACGGCCGCCATATTTGAATTTGTTTTATTAGAGTGTATTCTATATTAAGGGTTTCATTCAATTGTTTTCGATAGTTTTATGACGGTTCTAGCTGTAATATAAGTGATTTATCAAGAAAACACTATTCTGCTTGCAATTTCGATTTAAGTACGACCCGCCTAGATTCGAACGCACGATCTTTGGATTACGGCGCAAGATCCTAACCACTACACTACCGCGACGGCGTGCCGGCCGGCGGAAGGGAGGCTGCGGAGGCATGGGAGTTTTTTTTACGCATTTTTGGAAAAACTAATGGGTTTAGTGGAAAACACTTCTTAGATAATTCAAAGAAAAATGTCTCGGCTTTCCGATGATGCACTTAGTTTTGTGCTAGCTTTAGCAGAATTTGTTCTACAGCGCTTCAAAAATCGCCCATTTGCATAGGACTTAAACGGGACTTCAAGACGTGCCCCCAGATGACGTCACGAGCTGACGTCACGATCAGGTAGAATCGCCGGACGACCCTACCTGGTATATAGGGCCTTGCTTTTGGCAATGCGCGCACTATCTGTCGCTGTTTTGCCGGCAGTGTGTAAATTGGTGGTGTGTGTGGGGTGGTGTAGATACTCTGAAATTGATTGGATATTTTGAAATGAAATGATATAGTTTGGTTATATTTTCATTTTGAACCTGTATCTAGCTAGATTATCACTGCAATAAGTGACGGTGACTTTTACCTAATCCTCAATTGCTATCGCCTTCATATTTCAATTTGAATTCCCTATTTCTAACCTTTAATTCAAGCATTCCCATATTGTCACTCATCGATATTCATAAAATGAAAATAAGGATATTTGGCATTCCTGATGGGGCTTCATTCCCGAATATATTATGGTGGCTGCTTAGTGCGTGACTACAGTAACGCTTTCTCTAATTCAGACAATTTGGCACCACTTTGAAAAAAATAAAGTTACCTAACACAAAAGTGAAAAGAGCCAGGCACTGCTTAGTCAGTGAAGTGCAATAATCCAGTAATACATACACTATCAATATTAATGTAAAACATTTTTGACAAGCTTCCATTGTAGCTTATTTATGCACAAGTCGCCACTCGCAACAGGGCTGACAGGCCCTCCTGGGCCTGCCTGGCACCCAGACTGCTGGTGGGGTGGCACCTATCAAATATAAATACTTACCAACCATTGGCTTTTTGAAGTGATCATTCCCCTACCTACATATTCAAAAGCTGCAAATAATTGTAAGAGCTTCCAGTGGTCTTGTCAAAATAGGACTCATTATATTGTCCCTGTTCTGTTTCAACTTTCATCTGGGCACAATTGTGTTGGATGAGAGACTTGCAAGCCCTCTAACATTTTAATGGACCACAGCTTCTGCTGCCAACCACATTTCTGCCTGTTCCATGTTGTTTGCTTTTTCATACCATCTGCTTTTATTTTCCTGCTACATGTTTTTGAGGGCTTCTGGTGCTAGGATAAACAACTGAACTGTTTGATGACATGACATTGTTAGTCAATAACAGTACTGTAGGTCAGGTCAGTTAAGGTTAGGCTAGGACCTTGGCCTGACAAATGCAGAATTTTGTGAGACTTTTAAGTTTCACCTGGGAAATTCACAGATGAGGCTGTTAGGCCTTGATTCTACCAATGTTGCTCTGTGATTTTAAAGTAAATATTTGGATTGGAAAGAAACAAGGAATGAAACATTAATTGAAATGTATTTTTCTTCCTTGATGGTGGCAAAGTCATGCCTTATTCATGGCTGGATGATGGGCCACTTAACACAGCTAGGCTAACATCATCTGTTAGCTTTTCTTAGACTTGATGTACCTATTGATCTTGATTCGCCTAGAAACCAGAGAAGTTGTTTGTCCAATGTTCCAAGTGCCCAACCAAACTGCTACCTATTTATACCAACTGAACATTCTCTATCCTGATTAAGGAGCAGTCAGGTCATGCATCTGGTGATTGGTATAAGGCTTGGCTGGAGATATAGTGATTATTTTGAAAGGCTACCTCTTATCATGCTACATGCTACATTTTTTTTTTTTACCCAAACACCCCTCTCTCAACTTTGTTTTGTGGAATTAGCTGTTTGGTGTCAGGCTATTTCGAATTTCATTTGCTGTTGCTGCATGGTTATCAGCCAAGGAAATCTGAGGCTGTGTAAAAAATCCTCTTGCCAAGTATGTTTTTGTGTCACTTGTTGAACATTTTTTGTGTGTAAAATCATTTAATCATGCTGTATTATCCTCCTTCATATAGAAGCAAAAATCTATGCAATGCAGTTTTTTATATAGCTCAACTGTTTGAATGGATATCTGATTGACCAAGCTGGTTCTTTGCTGATTCAAATTATCAATTCTTATTTTGAAACAGAATGAAAAGTGTATGTAAAACAATTGATCATTGCTGCTTGTGCTGCTCCCTGCAGGTCAGATCCTCCATCACAGGTCACTCGGTTCTCAGTGATTAGTACCAGGCACCGGATAGCCTGCAGCGATGGCCGGTCAGTTCCCGGGCATGGGCGGCGGCGGCATCAGCCAGAACAACTCGTACATGATGCAGCAGCAGCAGCAGCAGCCGGCGGCGCCGCAGCCGGGCGGTGTGGGCGCCTTCACCAGCCAGCCGGGCGAGGGCGGCTCGTTCGGCGGCCAGGTGACCTCGTACTCTGGCTACCCGAGCAGCCAGCCGGGCCTGTCGCAGGCCGCGCCCGGCGGCTACCCCAACCCGCCGGCCTACTCGCAGTCGGGCGGCGGCGGCGGCGCCTACAGCCTGGCCTCGTCGTACATGAGCAGCTCGTATGGCGCCCAGTCTCCGGTCTACTCGCAGTCGGTGGCGGCCGCGCGCCCGCAGATGAGCGTCTCGCCGGCGGGGTTCCCGGGACCGGCCGGTCCGTACCAGCACCACTACCAGCAGGCCGGCTTCCAGCAGCAGCAACAGCAGCCGCAGCCGCAGCAGCAGGGCGGCTTCGCGCCGATGCAGGGCTTCCCGAGTCCGCAGCCGCAGTTCAGTCAGTCGATGCAGCAGCATCAGATGCAGGCGCAGTTCGCCATGCAGCAGCAGCAGCAGCAACAGCAACAGCAACAGCAGCAGCAGCAGGGGCAGCAGGCGTACTCAGCTCTGCACCAGCAGCAGGCCAGCCTGCCCACGCAGACCATGATGACCTCCGGTAACCATCTCACCCGAGTCCTGCCTGTTTGCCACCGGCATCGGGCTGTCAACGTCCCTCTCACCACTGCACGGGGTACTGGCGTGCACTGCCTGCCTGACACAACGCTGGTGCGAGGGCTGATGCATGTCTGTGTGTGGTACCCTGAGGTTGTTGGCCGTCACCCATCGCATGTGACTTGATGTTTCCACTCTATGGCATTGGTTCGACACGAGCTTTTGTGAGCTGTACTTCCCTAACGGGCGGTCAAATCGCATGCCCCCTGCAGGACTGCCATGCTCCGTGTTGTCTGCCTGTTTGATGTGACCTCACCACTATGATATGACACCTGCACTGCCATTGGCACGCCTTATGTGTATAATCTGCGTCACCAGCGCCTGACCCCTCGTCCTCAGCGTGCTCGCCACTGCACTGTGACCTCTGGGTGATACGGTGGCTGGCTTCCGGCTGTGCTGGCACGGGTCACCTCACGGTATGAAGGCGTTGTTCACCCGCACTCTTGTCATGCGTTGATATGGTAACATTGCGCTCGCTGCATGCTGTCCTGGCCTTGCTGCAATTGCCCTGTGTTTCCTGTGTGGTTATTACGTATGGTCAAGTAATAAGATTTTGCTTGTGATTTTCAATGCAACTGATGAATAACAACCTTAGGTACATCGAAAATGAATGGCAACTTCTCGATGTAATAAGAAAGTTTTATCCATATTTATGTTTGTCTCTTGTCCAGTTACACCTTCATTTGAATTTACTTTCGTAGAAAATGTTGGGCAATGTTAATGCCGTTTCCTGCATTATCCAGTAATTGTCACAACGGCATCCAGTAATTGTCACAACGGCATATCCCAAGCCGTGATGTCCGTGATATACCCTGTAGTCTGTGCCCTGTGCCGTGCGCTGACGCCGCACCGCGTGTCGTCGCAGCGGCCGGCGGCTCCATCTCAATGAGTCAGCAGCAGGCCGTGGTACCGACCGCCACTCCGACACAGGCGCAGGTGTCGGTCATGACCTCACAGCAGCAGCAGCAGCAGCAGCAACAAGTACAGCAGCAGCAAACACAGCAACAGCAGCAGCAGCAGCAGCAGCAGCAGCGCGACTACAACGTGGCGACGCTGTGCCGCTACGCGCAGGAGCACCTTCTGGAGCTGGTCAGCCGCTGTCAGGAGCTCTTCAATGTCCTCAAAATGCATCAGGTACGGACGTGTGAATGGCTCTGGGCGTGGGGCCGGCCCTGTGGTTGTGTTTGGATTTTGGCTTGCATGAATACTGGTAATATGATATGAATTGATAATTGAATAGGAGTGTGCTCGGCTAGCCATATTGACGGATGTCAGTATGAAACGCTCTTCAAAATATGCATTCCATTGAGCATGTCGAACATAATTGCTTCCAATTCCACTGTTCATATGCCTTCGTTCTTCATTGTTGATGGACAGTGTATCGCCCCGCGATGCCATCTTCCCTGTCCAGCTCCCGGTCCTGTCTCTGACCACACACCGTCGCCCACAGCCGCCCAACGGCACGCCGCAGGGGATGACCAACAGTGCCGACAAGCAGAACAAAATCAAACAGCTGCTCGAGTACATCCGCGTCCAGTTTCGGCGACTGCGCGTCTACCACGAGCGCATCTCAGAGTGCTGCGCCAGCTTCGAGTTCACGCCCGTTGAGGTGAGTAAAGCGCCTCTGCTGGTCTTAGTGCTAAGGCAGGGAGGACGGGGGGAGGCTGTGTGAATTTGCTACAAGACTGTCAGTTTGTTTACCAGAGTGCTGCTGAATGATGGCCAATGACGGTCTGTTTGGCGCCGCAGGGTCTGATTCCGTACAAGGACGAGCCGGACAGTAAGCTGGAGGACAAGAAACAGTCGGAGCTGTGCCGCCAGGCCACGGAAGAGTATAATGAGATGAAGGAGGTGAGACTGAGACCGACTGAGGGAGGCGAGGTTTGTGAGACTGAGGCACTCTCTATACTCACTTGTTCAGGAAGGGGGCGGGAAGAGGGAGGGGGAGGGCGGCGATTGCTGATTTACGAGATCGTGATGTAAGAAAACAGGTCAATGTTGCTGATGACAATATTTCCAATAAATTTTACGCAATTTTGATTAATGATTAATGACTTTACCCTCGTTAGTTTGAAAAAGTTAGATCAAAACACTTGTTTATTAATAATTCAAAGATTGGATTTTTATCGTGACATTTTTAGCTTTGTATTCTGATGAAGAGCTGTGCTCGAAATTATTAATAAACAAGTGTTTTGATCTAACTTTTTCTGCGCAGCCGCTACCTGAAGGAAGTGACATCACCTGCCCCCTCCCTCCTGTTCACAGCACGTCCAGCTGCGCAGCCGCTACCTGAAGGAAGTGACATCACCTGCCCCCTCCCTCCTGTTCACAGCACGTCCAGCTGCGCAGCCGCTACCTGAAGGAAGTGACATCACCTGCCCCCTCCCTCCTGTTCACAGCACGTGCAGCTGCGCAGCCGCTACCTGAAGGAAGTAATTGACCAGCTGCGGAACATCGTGTGGGACGTCAACACCATGCTGGCCATGCGACACCCCACCTAGGACTTCGTCAGGTTCTCCAGCTGAGTGGACTGCCAGACGGTCGCGTTAATGGGCCACGTTCTCAACGGCAAGTGGAGAGATCTCCCATTTATCATTCTGGTCCGCTGTGACAAGCCAATTTCAGCGTGTTTGGGTGGATATCCTTTCAAAAGGGGCATGGTCATCTGTTACATTTTGTATGCCATGTATTTGTACAAGTGACTGCATATATGAATACACATGTTCATCGCGTACATGATACAATACGCATTGTTATACATTAAAAATAAGTTTCGTGTAGGCGAAAAATAAGGACCAATGCAGGACGAACACATTGGGCGAAGCATGTTTGGTTTCAACGCTGTGATCACACACACCTACACACTCGGCATACAACATCATGGCATGACAAACGCCGCGCTCCACCGCCTGCGCCCGGCAGTTTCAGAACGACCGTGCGCAGGCGTCGCTGCAGAACACCTTGTTACTAGCACAGATGAAGGGCGCACTGACCAGGCCGGCTCGGCACGTGTAGCAGTGGAAACACTCGGCGGTGGCGTGCCAAAACAGCTCGTCGCCCAGGCTGATCCGCTGGTCGGAGGGCGCGATACCTCGGGAACAGGTCACACATACCTGCCCGGCAGGAGACACAATTTGCATGTCAGGCGCTGACATAAGAAATAACAAATGTCCGTAAGTAAGTAGAAGACGAGCAAGGAAATTTCGAACAAATAGTTGAGTGAATGTGCGTTGTGTCCTTTCTCATTGCTGTCAGTGTATCAAATGATGCCGTATTGCTCCTGTAATCCGTGCCTTTCGTAGACGTATTGTCAAACGCAGTCGACTGTTATAATGTCCGTACCTTTCCGTTACGGAAAGGTACGGAATACCGGCAGCACTACGGTAGTGCTGTCAGTAGCAGTCGAGGCAGTGCTATTATGTCCGTACCTTTCCGTAGTGCTGCCGGTAGCAGTCGAGGCAGTGCGGCCGCTCCCCTCTGAGCACGTACTGCTGGCCGGCCAGCGGCTGACAGCAGGCCGCGCAGCAAAAGTGCCGCGTATGCCAGTGCTGGCCGCCCGCCTCCGTATACTGCTGGGAGAAGATCAGCTCGTCGCAGGCGGGACACCGACTCAGTCGCTGCCGCTCGGCGTAATGGCGCCCGCAAAACACCTGGCCAGACTTGTAGAAGTAGATCAGGTCCACCAGCAACTCCTGAGGCGTGCGGAGAAGCAGGGATCAGCTAGCGGCGAGTTTCACAGACTTGTGCACAAAAGAAAAATCCAAAGGTGCAGCGGAGGCTGGGCAACAGATAGTATGGGCGAGGGTTCGCAGGATTAAAATGTCCCCACAGATTCCACCAATTCTTCTTTGGATCTCGTCGAAGACATGAGATTGGTACAGACTCTACATAGTCAGTTGTAAGATGTCACCGAACCGTTTCATCTTTTTAATCACGTCTGAGCCCAGTTGTTTTCCTTTCCCGTCCGGGTCCTCACCTGGCAGGTGGCGCAGACGAAACACTGCGGGTGCCAGCACTTGTTGGCGCCGGCCCGTTCGGCAAACACGGCGACATCGCCGGGCTGCATGGCGGCGCGGCAGTGGTGGCAGCACCAGCGCCGGTGCGTGTCCCAGACCGGCCGGTCGGGCGGCGCCGCCAGCGCCGGGGCCGAGCCGCCGGCCGCCGCCAGACTGGGACTGGAGGCGGCCGCCGGCCGGCCCACCGAGCGAGCTCTGCGGGCGCTGACCGGCCGCACAGAGCCCTCGGGCGCCGGCGGCACGCTCTGCAGACCGCGGAACGGCTGGTCACCGGTGATTGTGACCGGCGCGCGGCACAGACCGCCGCTGGTGCCGCCCATACTGCGGAACGGAGCGCGCGGCGACGGCGACGGAGAGCGGTGGACCGAGGAGCTGGGCCACCTAGTGACGGACGGGACAGAGGGAGGAGTCAGCGTGGGACAAGGAGTGAGGGATAGGTAACTAATTGTGGCAAACTCTACAGGTTCTATCTCCAAGGACCGAATGTGCTGTAATGTTAATTACACGCATAGCAACTCGAGCTCCGTCTTGTACCCACATATTTTGTGAGCGACTCCATTCACCCGCCGACTCGTGCAAAGAATGAGACTGACCTGACCGATTCCGGCTCTGCCGTGAAACTCCCGGAAAAATGAAGACTAGGACCGGGCCCGGCCGAGTCCTGCGGTCCCTGTGGCGACGGCGGAGGCTCCTGGGGACCCCACTGGGCTGTCGACGGCAGAAGACCAGCGGCTATACCGCCGTCTGAAAACGGAAACGCCTCGATGACTGATGGATGAACGACGATAGAGAATATCAACCTGCTACCGTTTTGTGACTTGTTAGTCGACTTCAGCAGTCAACACTTGACAGCAAGCTTATTCCTAAACCGGCTTGTGAATGATGCAAGGCAAGATGGATGACATTGCAAGCTCAAGCCCGCATCGGACTCAACACTTACTGGACACCCGTCTGCGCTGTTGCTGCTGCTGCTGCCACTGCTGCTGCGGCGACTGCTGCCACTGCCGCTGCTGCTGTTGTGGTTGCTGCTGTACCCACTGCTGTTGCTGCTGAGACTGCCAGTTATGTAGCTGCTGCTGTGCTGACGGCTGCCCGCTCACCATACTGGCGAAGTAGGTGGGCTCGCCACCCTGCAGGAGCGGCTGGCAGACGGAGGCCGGCGGACCGCCGCGCCACTGGGCCGCCCCGGCCGACGGCGGACTCCACTGCACGGGAACACGGCGAGCTGTCAGATCGGCACCCATGGGTAGGTCGGTCTCTGGCACGACTCAGAAGCTACATTTGAGCTCACCTAGCAATTACATTCGTGATACTGTATAAAGTAGTACATTATTCGAGAAATATGTCCAATTTACTGGTTGTATCACTGCAAGGCACGACTTTATGTCATCGTCTTTCGTCTTAGCTATTATACCTTTATCATGGATAAGTGCTGGCACGTTACAGCGTGCACGGTGCGCTACTTACTGCGTTATTCGGCATGAAGCCGCGCTGGTAGGGCCCGTTAGGAGGAAACTCGCAGACGATGCCCTGGCCAACGGCGTTCTGTCTGACATCTTGCACGTAGGACTGCATCCTGCGATGAACACATGCTCAAATCACAGAACAGAAGTTGGCGAATGACGCAAGCCGCAATGAGAATCGTGATTTCTTAATTTAAGTAGAACGTGTTCTAACACACAAGACACTTTTCATAGCTGAACTTCAAATAAAGCCAAGATGACTGACCTAAATGTCCTTGACTTTCCCTCTCGAGCCCCCTCTGAAATCTGGATACACCATTTTGGTCCCATAACCGCAAACTAGCCTTTGACCATTCCCACTACACCCTCCGACTCCAGAATGTTCAAAAGTCTTGCCCATTGCGCTTCGCCCTCCGGCTGACTTTACCCATCAAGCTGGCTAATGAGCCCTTTCACCGACCTCACGCCCTCTCAATGACCTTATGTTCTCTGTCACACTCCGACATATGATACCACTAGACAACGTTCTGGTTCTTGAGCCCACTAATTGATCTTTGAGCTTTCTGACAAAACTCTGGACCCCCCTCGGATCTTCAACAGATCGCTTAGCCCTTTGAACCATTGGCACTTTGGTGGACACCGGTCTGCCACCGGATGAGGTCGAGGTCCTTAGAATGACCTCCGAGCTCCCTCCCACTGACCTCAGCTCCCGCTCCCCCACTGATCTCTGAGCTCCCTCCCACTGACCTCTGGGCCTCCGGTCCGCCGGACTGGAGGTGCCACCGGCTGAGGTCGAGGTCCTGCGGCGGCAGCTGGGTCTGTAGGCTGCGCTGACGGAGTACGGCGCCGCTGGTACCCCGTACCGGTATCCGCCCGGGCGGCAGGTAACTCAGGTACCGCTCCGCCTGCGACCAAACGCACACCGAGCATGGCATCGGGTCAGAGTTCGGCACAAGAGTTCATCACAAGATACACGATCACAAAACGACTCACATGGTCAGGACGGCATAACAGCTAGTTGAGCTTCATTCACCAGGATAAGTCGCACGGCCGGTACATTTCACAGCCACGTACCAGGTCAGGAGCCACGCCGGGCGGCACCCACTCCAGCTGGGTCGGCTCCGAGGACACGCCGCCGTACCGTCCGCCTGCAAACGAGTCGGAATCAGTTGGCGTCAGCGCCCGGCACGGGTCAATTCAGCTCGCTTCAGTCACTACAAGATCTGGACTATAGCAGACACACAGCACAACTTCGAATTATCGATAACCATGTCACAATACCGGCACTCATCTAACGGTCATACATATGACATTTCATGTGACCTGTGTGGACCTTTCATCCAAAATAACCTGAGCTGACCTAAGAAAGTTCTGTCCTCTAACCTCCCTGGCCACTCACCGCGACTGTTGACGGCCGTGTAGGGGTGCGGCGGCGGTCGTCCCGAGTCCAGCAGCTGCCGGGCCTGAGCTGCTCCGGCCGTCTCGTCCTGATGGACGCCGTGCTCCGCGGCGCTGCAGCTGCAGTGGCGACAGGCCTTCCTCCACAAAACACGGCACGAGTCAGCCACAATCAGACTCACGGCTCATCAGGCGGCTACTGGGCCAAAAGGGCAGGACCACCGCTATAGCTACGGCCAAGAGTACCATTCTAACTGGAGTGTTGTGGGAGCTTTCACCATCGGACAACGCTGCAAATCATTCCTGCGGCTATACCGCAGCCTCAGCAAAAAATATTTGACAGATGACATGAAGACTGTTATAGGCGCGTTCCCAGGTATAGTAAATTGAATCAAAGCGTCTGGATCTTGTCAGGCCCGTCTCTTACCTCCAGTAGTGCAGGTCGAAGCCGGGACAGGCGGGTCCACACCGAAGGCAGGGCGCACCCTGTCCCAGTTCATGACAGAGTCGCGGCGGGCCGCTGCCGCCAGCCGAGCGCTGGGTCAGGACGGCGGCGCTGGCCGGCGCTCCCTGCTGGTACAGCGCGGCGCTGCTGGTCCGGCCGGGCCCGGCCACGCTAGGCCAGCTGCCCAGCGTGCTCAGCATCGCGCCGGCGCCGGCTGTTGGAAGGCGCTCAGCTGGCCGAAGTCAGGGCATGCTGTCCGAAGTCGGTGAAGTCACATTGCATGGCTTAGCGATACAAGGAAATACGCAGGCTAGTTTCAATTGCAGCAATTAGAAGATTAAATTGAAAATAAGTGCACCGCTAAAGCGTCGATGAGTCTACGATTAAGCATATTTACGTAGACCCTTCAGACCCTTCGATCCAGCATCTTTATCACTTGAACAGAAAGGACAGAAACGACAGAAAGGAACAAATCCGAAACAAATCCACACAACTCACAGAGCCTACAGTTCACGTGCCCTGCTGCAGATTCTACCTCCATGTTTAAAAAGTCTTAACTTCCTCCCTCAAAGTCACATATTTTGATATTGTAGCTTGACCTTTGTTCTTTCGCAGTCGCGCATTTTGGTCCAGTAATGTAGAATAATTCCAAGCTGTTGCGTTGTTCACCATTTGCTTTATTATTTGACGTGTACGTAAAACCACAGTAATGCATTGTGATAAATAAGCATCGTAAGATTCGTTTAAAGTCCCGTAAAAGGAATTAATCACATAAGTATAGTTCGGAATGCCCCAATATGATTCAATAAAAATCAAGCTATTACACAAGGAACTGGCTATAATTCGTTGATATGATCGTTGAACCAAGAAAGGCGCAGCCCGGTACAGTGGCCTATGCATAACTAAATATACTTGTACTTGAAGATCTGACATGCAGCATACAACAATGGAATGATCCGGCTGATAAAAGAACTATAAGCACTTCTGGAGCCCCGGATACCTGAGACGGGATCCAAATGAGATACACGGGAGGTACAAACGTAAAACAGCCACCCGACGTACACTATGGCACACGTCACAGCAGACACACACACAAGTCGGAGAGGACCGCACATGTCACTCGCTATCATGTAGCCGTGTTCAGATCTGGGAAGCAGAACGGAAGGAAAGCGTTCATCGCTCAGCAGCCTGGCATGGCTAACAATGCAGCGCATACGTAGCGTCCACAGCCTCCATACACTATCACAAACCCACGCATTACCGCGATATCGGCCCCAGTAGCAGCCACAGCGGGCTGAGCAATTGCAGTACTGGCCTGAAGAACACAATCACACCGACTGGCCAAAGTTCTGTGAGCCACCAGTCAGTTGGTCATATCGCGCCGGCCGGGAGACGTCGTTTTGGCGACACCACTTGTCACGACACCGGCAAGAATAATTATTACGGATGTGTCCAAGAATATGTAAGCTTCACTAAGTTCGTCGGTTGCCATTCTGGTCCGGGGCACAGCCCTGCACATCACTCTGTGTCTATCACAGGATCTGTCCGTCCACAGCCCACCGCTCACCGCTGTTCGGCGGCCTCCGACATACTCAGGTTGGCCACATCCACAGCCAAAGTGTCGTACGCGGGCGACACTTCAACTGCGGGCAGGCCGTTGGAGACGGGTGCCGAGCCGTCCTCCGGTGTAACTTCCTCCACAATATCAGCAGTGGAGGGCGGGTAGAGGTCCTCCGGGACCGGGGTGGATAGGGACGGCGGCGCAGACTCCTCGTCACTGGTCCCGTCCGGCGGCTGACGCGGACACTGCGGCTGCGGGCTCCAGCCGCCGCCAAACGGCCACAGGTCGCGCAGCAGCTGCGGAAACGCAGCGCGACGTCAAAGTTCCATAGCTGGCTGGCGATTCGCAATTACAGCTTACAGAAAACTCATGAGATATGGAGATAAATGCTGATCGTGTTGGCATCATTCCGTGAACTTTGGAGAAGTTGGACACTGACCTGTTTTTGAACGTTGACTAGTTCTCTGAGCGTCCTTAGATCAACTTCCTTGTTCTGCAGCAGCCGGTCCATGGTCTCGACACAGAGTGTCTGGCGCAGCACCGCCCGCCGCACCTTGCACGGCATCCCCGTCAGACCCTGGAACACATGGCCGGTTAAACTCTGCAACATGATGTGGTTTAAGTCTGCAATGAAATGCAATTATTAAACTATGAAACACAAGATAATTACCTAACGTCTGCAACAAAGACCCCCAAACGTTGCAAAACATCTTTTGTAATAAACACCTTAAAACAAAGTCGTTACGATTTAACATTAAGATCGAGTCAAGACGTCAAAAATTACACACCGTATTAGACGTACTCTGGCGAATCATGAAATACATCACTCTAATGCCTGGGAGTTCGTCAAAGCAGGGACGCTTAGGATAATTTAGTTCAAGGTTCAGACGCCTTGATATTGCGGCCGCCTTCAACATAAAAGCAAATGAAATCAAAGATATCATCCGTATTTGCTACCGCGGCCCGGCGCGCCACACACCGTCACCCGAAAGCATGCACACACGACATCTCCGCCCGATATTGCCACTGGAGGACACCACTGCAAAGCACGCACACAACGAAAATGGAACAGCAACGCGCTACACGAGCAACCAGCCCAACAGCCAGGAACCGACCAAAGAGGAAACTTAGAACTCTTGAAGAAAGCGGCGTGAGACGCCCAAATTCAACACACCAGCCTATTACGCCAGTAATCACAGATTGAAGACTGGTAAGACGAAAATCATAGCACAGTGTGGAGGTCTCTGAGACAGAAACTCAACATACAAATAACTTCTCAAAGCGGAACAAAACGTCCCAAAGAAGACCCAAAATCCCCTCAACATGATAAAACGCGAAGACGACCCATCACCATTGGCACAAGAATCACCCCACATCACCTGACGTCACGTCACACGTCAGCACGCATCAGGGCACGTCACACGTCGGCCTCGGCCGTCACCTGACCCCGGACGCGTCACCGACCGAAGGACACTCCCTCCCGAGCAGCCACTAGAACCACCTCAGGTTCGGTACACTCAGACACAACTTTCGGTAAAACATTCGCAGCGTCTTTCTGTCCTGTAAGGCAAAAAAGCCAAAAGATTTCGATTAATCATTAATCCAGACATTTGTCAACTTCAAGAAATGAAAAAAGGTAAGCGCTAGCCTATTTTGGTACTTAAAGCCATTCTCAATTATCGAACGAATAGCTTCTTCCCTCAGAAATAGATGATTAGGTGAGCGAACGAGCGCTTTCTGGAGTAGCATATCAGCCCCAATAGCTCTAGCTGCCTCTAGCTAAGTTCATGAGACCGTTGTGACTAGCTGTAGCTACACTACATACAACTACGCTCGACAGATGACAGTCGACACGGCTCTGAAACCCAACTACTTCAGAGCAGAAGTCTGGAAAGAAGCATGTGTGGCCGTTTTAGAGCCTACACTGCTCGTGTGTTAGTGGGTACCGATCTGAAATCTGTAGGCACCAGACATAGTCCGTGGTACATATTCTGCAGTTGTTAGCAATTTTCTCTGGAAGCAATAGAACGTTATAGACGACGCCATTTTGCGCAACCCCTAGCGAGAAGCTGCGTTTGTGGGAAACGCCACCACTGACCAGCCTCGGTTCTTGTTGTTTGTAGCCTGGCTCGCAATGTGGAGATGGCAGACACTAGCCAGGATCCCCTCTGGCTGTGTGTGAGTTGGCTTTTGGCTGAAACAGGCTCGCTCTCACTTTGATCAGCGCTCCCGCTGTGCACAGACCGGAGATCCCTATGCACAGCCTCAGTCTCACTAAGCACAGCCTCCCTCTCAGCATGGACAGACTCCCTCTCATTGTGAGCAGGTTCGCTCTTACTGTGGGCAGACTCGTTCTTACAGTGAGCAGGCTCGCTCTCACTGTGCGTAGGATCCCTCTCACTGTGAGCAGACTCGCTCTTACTATGCACAAGCTCGCTCCCACTGTGAACAGGCTCACTCTCACTGTGAACGGACTCGCTCTTACTTTCCACTGACTTTCGCTCACAGCGCAAAGGCTCTCTCTCACTGACCGGATTCCACTCGGGTGGTGTGGACGTCTGTTTGCTCTCCATGACTGCGTAGGCAGACGCCTCGGACGAGGCTAGCAGGGCGTGCTTTCCCCGCAGTGCAGACACATCCTTCATGGCCACGGGCGGCGGGCCATACGTCACGAGATCCGCCGACGCCGCCGCTACGGTGGCTGACCCCGACCGCGACACTGTGAGAGGGAGACAAAGGACGTCACAGATATTCCGCTGATGCCACAGTTGGCGTCTGGGTGGGCTTAAAACGAGTGCGATTTATATGGACACATAAGGTATAGGTAAGGCGCTCCCAGAGGCTGAATGAAGATGGGCTGATGAACGATTGAATGAATGAATGAATGAATGAATGAATGAATGAATGAATGAATGAATGAATGCAACTAAAATCATAATTCATAGCAGAATTATCAAGTGAAATCACAGAAAAGTGCTTATTACGGAGCGAGAGAAGCGAGCGGAGTCTTTCCTTAGATTAACGGAAATTTCTGAGGTATGAGCGGCCGGCCGTGCGGACGCTTTTGCGAGGCTTATATCTCAGCAACCACTTGACCGAGTTACATGCGGTAATTTTTGTAGGGTAGCTTCATTCCTTCTACCAAATATTGGCCTATTCCCGATGCATGTGGGTGACCCCTTATGCGCGTGCCACGTGCAAAACGAAGAGAGGTCAGTTTTGTAATTGTTGCAATATCTCGGTAACTACTTAGCCGATTGCGCTGAAAGTTGGCATGTAGGTAGGCACTCACTACGCAATGCATATCCATGTGCCAGAGTTGGGGTGCTGCTGCACGTGCGCACGTGCAGGGGTGGTTTCCAGATCTCGAGAACGGCTCGACCGATTGCGCTCAAATTTGGTACAAAGTTAGGGACCGGTTAGTAGGGTGCCGTGCAAAAGTCAGTCGGGACCCATTTTGCACGTGCGCACGTGCAGGGTGTCACTTCCAGATCTCAAGAACGGCTGGGCCGATTGCGCTCAAATTTGGCACATCGCTAGAGACCGGTTAGTAGGGTGCCGTGCACAAGTCAGTTGGAGGTACCCCCTCGCAATTTCGCACGTGCAAGGCCCACCCTCTCGCTCGCTCCGTTAGTCGCCCCAAAAGGCGTTATACTAGTTTATTATCATTCATAATCAATATAATAATGCATGCTGCCGAATTTCTTACGGGTTTGCAGCTCTGCTCCTAGATACACATGCTATGGCTGTAGTGTCTGCCACGAGTTCTTACCTACGGTCTCTGATCCACTGCGTGCCAGGCCGACCAGGCCGGTCCGGCCCGGCGCCGACATTGGCGGCGGCTGGGTCATACTGCGGGGCCGAGCCGGGCTGACCGAGCCGCTACCGCTCTCAGACTTCTGAGGGAATAACACATAGAGTCGTCACAGTATGGGGGACAAAACGGAACTGTGCGGAGAGATGACACAAGAGGGCCTTTAACTAATGATAGCTGAATGAGCAGTCATTGACAGCGGTCAGGCGTATGCGCACGCTACATCTTATCGGCTTCCACATATCCTGCAGTCAAAGACTCCTGGCAGTGACATCTTTCACATTTACCTTTCTCGTTTAATGTTTTAGGCATGGAAACCAAACGCCACGTCATTCAATGACTCCCGTTCAGTCCACTGTCCAGCATTCATTCCAAGACAGTCTTTTCCCCTACCTCTCCCCTCCCATCGTGTTCCTCCCACCAGCACTCACCGGCTGTCCGACGGCGGATTTGGACCGCTCCACCGACCGCCGACGCAGCCGGATCTTGGAGGCGGCCGGCTTACGGGGCGACACCGGCGGCGGGGGCGGAAAGTTGTTCGGCTTGGGATAATCCTGCGACAGAAAGGGGTATAACTGAAGGTTCAAAGTTGCAGGAAAAGTGATAAATCGCGACTAATCGAATCTTCACAATAAGTACATATGCAGACTATTTGATCCCAACTTTAGTAGGAAACGTCTGGATAGCTTATCGCCATGAAGGTCAAATCTCAACGCAGCACCGTCAATAGAAAATGCAGGTCAACGTCAACGCAGCACCGACATTGATTGGTGCGCCTACAATGGGCGTTCACAGCTCGCACCCACCAGAGGGTTCCGGATGTGGAGTGCGAAGGCGATGCAGCCAGCAATGTCCGGTAGGGGCGGCAGGTTGAGCAGCAGCGTCAGCGCCTCCATTCCTTCCCGCTCCAGAACTGAGGCAGGTGGCGCGGAGATACCAGCGCAGTCAGAGGTAGGGCGACGAGCTCGGGGATCGCAGGCACAGGAACAACCCAAGGACTTATCTATGGCATCCTCGAGTGCATTATAATTAGTTCGAACTTGTAGTCCATGATTAATCCTAAACGGCACTCAATGCACAGTAAACGGGCTTCATAATGTCTCTTTATAATAAACCATTCCTAGGTATCAACAGCTCATCCGTAAAAAATTGCTGGTTTGGTACCCTTCACCGGTGTATGAGATGAAACACGAACCTTCATCATATGAGCCTTCTCCCACCAGTCAATGCACCCTTAGACCCCCTCCCCCCCTCGATACCATCCCTCGCTTCCTCACTCTGTCGCCGATTGTAGATAAGGATGGCACAGAAGACGTAAGGCACCAGGTCGAGCGTGCTGGTGGCGTGGCTGTCCGCCAACAGGGCGTCCCACACCGAGCAGAGCTCCGAGAGACGAAACTCGCGGCCAAACAGCAGTCGGAACATCTTACTGCCGGGCACATAAACATAGCGATCAGGTGGGAGAAACATTAGCTTGAAACAAAGCCTTACACACTGCAGGACATAACTTGACTGACTTCAACGTCTGCATAGATCTCAGATACGGAAAAAATGTACGTACTACGTCATCAATATGCGCAGAAGCTCCTCTGATCAATCTTTCAATTAACCACATTCAATAAATCACGTGAGCCAGAACCGGTTATCGGTCGGCCGTCGGCCCCACCCGGCGCCACTCGGGCGTTAACTCCCCGGCGCGTGAGAACTCACAGCCCAAACACCTGCGGTTCCACGCCCAGCTCGGCCAGTTTCAGGTAGAGGTCGTAGTCGATCATACAGAGGTGACGGCGCACGGCGCGGTTACACGGCGACGGCCCCCACTGGTTCACACTAGGACTGGCCCGGTCCTGAGGGGCAGACACGGAGGGAAGCGATTGGGATATTGTCGAAAGGGGATGTAGCAATTGGAGTCTGGCGAGGAACGAAGCATCATACAGACGACACGAGACAGGCGAGCATCATATTGATTCGACTATGACAGTTTCGATGCTATAAGATGGATGAAATACGCTAAATGCAACTGATGAAAGTCTGCAGCCATGAAGCAGCGTGCTTTCGCTTTATACTAGTCGCGGGTCGAACCGTTGATGAATCATCCTTCCCACGACCCTCCCGTCGCGCAGTGTACCTTGGCGAAGAGCGGCGGGTGGAGGAGATCGGGCGCGGGCGGCGGCGCCCGCTGCATCTCCTCGTACTCGCGGCGACGGTTCACCGAACTACTCCAGTCCATCATCTTCAGCAGCTTCTCCAGCATGTAACTGGACGTGGTGGCAGGTCAGGTGAAGGCGGATAGTGTAAGGCAAGGTGGCATTACAATGGGTTAGGGCAAAGACAGCTGAGCGTCGAAAAGAAATGTAATTACCAAATACCAACACCAAAATACAGTAAAAACGTATATTTATGTCATAATCCTCCACAAACACACTACACATACCGTTCACGAAGCATGAAACCGTTTTCAACAAGACATAAAAATATATCTTAAGCAATCGTCACAAACCCGGATGTACTGAGTGTCTTTCCCTGTAACATCTACCATTGCCTATAAAGCTCGAACCATGCTCGAACCCTAACATTGGAAGGGAAAAAAAAAAACGGAAAACTGTACGGATGAGTATCGCCGTGACCCGGATAACCGAAAAACTAGTGACGTCACAATGCCGTAACTCCATTTACAAGATTGATAAGAGATCCACGACACAATGCTCGCTCAGCTCACTGTTCGCGATTGCAATATTTCCCGCTAAAGCATTTAACAATGCTCTGGGGTAGTACTTACAAGGCATCATGCTCTACGTAGTCCTTGTCCAGTAGAACTTCTAGAAGGTCGAATGTGGGGCTGAAAGGGTACACGACAGCTGTTAGTATGGGAGCATTGTAGTGTTGGTAAAGGGAAACATAGGGGAAAGCAGGCATTCACAGTACATCCGGATGCCTTACGACATAATATTGAATAGGGTAATAAGCAGCAGGCAAAAATGGATATAATAGCGAAGATTTGTCTCCTAAGACGCGTACTACGTGCATCGCTAGGATGTTATTTAGATAACTGTTCGGATAAGACGGCCGGTTAGCTGAAAAAAACAGCGGCCGATAACCGATTTATCCCAACACAGGGCACTGTATCTGATTCGTGCATTAGTGGATCAGCAGTGTCAAGCGGGACGTAGTACTAGGTCAAAGGTTAACGCGCAATAGCCAGCTTCGGAAAGTGTCCTGAACTTTTAACCTAAGGCAGCCGCACGCTGTTTTAAAGCAAATACGTCTTGCCCATAAAATCCCCTACCTTTCCAGAATTTCGATTCTCCCTCAGCTAAACGGTAAGCAAAGTTGTTCATTAGGAAACCAGAAATGAAGCCTGGACAGATTACGTACACAGCTCTCATACACTGTTCGGTAGCCACTCACTGGTTGGCACGATGAGCGGCTCGCACATCGGCAAAGTTGCTGTACTCTCTCCGCAGCAGGTAGATGATGGGAGCCAGCAGCTCGTGCATTCCCTGTGCGAAAGGATGGACAGCGGGCGTTACTCATACAATGACATAACTGGGCCACGAGGCAAATCCACGATACAGTTGTGCGATTCACGTGGTTCATCGAGTGACGCAGGTCCGTTCGCGCCTGTGACATTACCAGGCAGCACAGCGCGACATGGTACCCGATCTGACAGTGTCCATGCTGGCATTTATGTCACCTGCCAAACCATGACGAGAAGTGTGCACTGCATGTCGGACTGTTGTAACATTGACCCATTTTAATCGTGATACTAACCGGTTGACCCAGTTTTTAATGTCACAGATTCCGCTTAACCCTCGCCCGTAAACGGCGATCTGCCACCTTCGCCCATGCAGGTGCGACCCCCCCCCCCTTGGCGTTTGAAAACGGAGCGTCGTAGAGCTTAGCGGAAAAGACCAACGGATTGCTCTCGCCGAGATCTCGCGATTAGTGGTATATTTTTTGGTCCTAGGTCAACATTTGGCCTACTTTTGACCGGTCAAAGGTCAAATTTTCGGAAAAATAGACTTTTTTCAACTTTCGGCGGCGATTGCGGCAAAACGGTGGGAGATATCGACTTGAAACCTTCACTATCGTGTTCCTTGATCAATTCTCTATCGTTTGGTATGTATTTCGTTTCCCTAGCTCTAAAAATGGCGCGTTGGGAGCGCCGGAAGTCGGCAAGGTCACAGTCGGCGGCAGAAATTCGAAAAATCAAAATTTAAATTTTTGAAATCTGATTGTATTTTTGGATTTGGGAGGTCCATTTGCTCCCTATAGAAGCTAATATTGCTGCATATTCCCATTGAGGTGACAAGAATTAGCAAAATAGTGGTTCGGGCGCTTTTCAAAAATAGTACCGGACGCTGTTCCTCTTGTGACGTCATAGCTCCGTGACCTGACCTGACTTGGTCAAGTTTCTTATACCATATGATAGCCAATACTTGCCCCAACATGCATGGGAAGTTTCATCACGATCCATCAACCGATCTCCGTACCACCGGCAGGAAACCTCGGGCGTTGGCACTCAGTTTGTGAAAATCCGGCCGGAGGCTGTTCCCTTTGTGACGTCATAACTCCGTGACCTGACATGACCCGGTCAAATTTTTTTATCAAAAGATGCGCAAGGTTTGCCCCATAAGGTACCCAAAATTTGGCGGCGCTGCGCGCCGCCGTTTTTGCACTATTTCCGAAAAACCTCAGGGGGGGGGGGTTGCACCAACCCCCCCCCTACATGGGCGAGGGTTAAAGAACACACTAAACCGGTAATTTCAGCTCCAACTGCCGAAGCGTCCTCAATTTGGGGACCCCCAAATCTTATCATCTCCCTAAAACGCTCAAATCTTCAAACTTCCCTGAGCAGCCCAAATCGTTAAATCGCCACATCTTTACGCATCCTGTGACTTGTGACTTGTAGACACTTATATATACCCGAATACGAACACCGTCACTAAAGCCCGCATAAACTTACTGGACAACCCCATATGAGCATTCAATTCATAAACACATGAAAACGCACCAGTGTCCAAGCCAATGCTCACCACCAGATCTTACACAATACACATCCCATCCAGCCCTTCCCTGTCGGACGCCATCACTCCCTCCCCCTCCTCCCCCCCCTACACACAAACACGCTCCTCCAGTCCACACACCCTCTCTTACACACCTACCTGCACATAGTCAACCTCCGGGTGCTTCTGCATGAACACGAACAGAACGTCAGTCATGCAGCGGCACACGTGCTCGTCCCGGAAGAGGGCCACGTCGGGCATGGTGCGCACCACGTCCTGTTCAATCACCCGGCGCAGGTCGGCGTGCTCGAACAGACGGTGCCACGGACTCTGAACGAGAGATGGAAGGGGTGGTGAGAAAGATGTGGGGTGGAGGGGAATGCGAAAGACGGCAGTCATCGCGGGGGGGGGGCACGTGGAAGGCAGCGGTAAACACCGGTGCGAAGGACTTTAGCGAGCGTCATTTGAGCGAGCGTCATTTGAGAAAACCATTTCCTGCGACTGTCATTACAGCGAGACATCTTTGCTTGACATTGTATGGTAAACTTATCGACATTAAAGGGACCCTCCCACCTTCAACAAAGTTTATGAATTGGCATGAAAGTGATGTCGCTCGGTTCAGAAAGAGCGAAAACGAATATCTACCAAATTTCACCGAAAAATATTCACCGGTTTTCAAGATATTAGACTTTTACTTTTGTTTACTTTTTTGGGATCTCTGCTGTTTCTAGCGACTTTATTTTAGAAGTGCGGCGTTTGCGGCAGATGTTGCGCGCAAATAGCATATACCACCGCGTGCTACAAAACGTTTTAGTCAAACATTTAAAAATCGTTAGATATTTGCGCTTACGTCACACATTCAGAGGGGTATTCCTAAGCATTAGCCCCTCTGAATCAAAATGCTGCAATTTTGAAATTCAATATTTCCGATTTAAGGCATTTCTCGATGTTGTGAGTGCCGAAACCGGTAATTGTGAGCCAGGGACCCCATTTTGGCTATCTCAACTCAAATCTAATGTTAAGGTCGGAGGGTCCCTTTAACAAAACTGAAATAATGTAATTCCAGTATCCCAAGCCCCATCAGTCTCCCCACACAGACAGAATCGCACTCCAAGTCACCTGTTCGTCATGTGAAAGCGGATTGTTCACCTCACACCTGATCCGCGTATCATTCACATCCGTGTAATCACTGTAGGTCGTCTTGGCCAGGCTGTAGAGCCGTCTGTGCTCCTTGGTGAGCAGTTCCCAGCTGGCGGGGTCGACCGGCAGCACTTGCAGGAAGAGGCGCCAGGCCAGCGAGCGCAGACCGCAGCCGGCCAGCTGTCGCAGCAGCGCCTGCTCGTGCAGCGCGCCGAACGACCCGGCGCCGCCAGAAAAGTACCGCTCAAACTCCAGACTGGGGACGGAGGAGGGGGATGGTCGGTGATGGCCTGAATAACGTGTCAGTGCCGCCCAATCGGTCCTCATAAGACTCCAGTGGCGTAGAAAAACGGAGTGAGGTTGATCGAAAACATTCCTACAAATGATGTACACAGGGATGTCACAATCCACCCTGCATTTTCCACTATCAATTTTGTTTTTGAATCACTTTCAGCTATAGAGAAGGATAGACAATAGGCATGTATCAATCAGATGGCCTAAACATTTTGCACCTCTTGGAATATCAAAAGGCAGATTTCAGTCAGGAATATTTCAGCAGTAACAAATACTTAACTGGTGGATGATTTACTGATCTATGAAAAGCTACCATGGATGAGATAATAATGGATTGGTGTCTTCGCAGTTTATGGCGACATTGAGCTCAGGCCTGCCATCTAGCGGGAGAATTGTCGTAAGTTAGGAGCAAACCGAGTGAACGCCGCTGATTAGCATTGTGACACACGGGAGTGTGGTGTAGTAGCAGGCTTGTTGTGCAATTTTTCAAAAGGTTATGTCTTTATATGTCAGTAAAAGCGAAGAAATTAATAGATTTATGTGCAGGGTCAGTAATAAGATAAGCAGTTCCATGTTATTTCCTCATTAAATCGTGAAACAGGGAGTTATTGGAGACTTCGCCAGCACGTGTTGTTTTCGCTATTTTTCACATGAGTCTTTACTTGGCCTAAATCAAACAAATTGTCCGATCAAAGAACAAAACGAACGTAAGTACTATCTAGTATCTATAAGTCTAATGAAAAACTTAAACGGAATTGCTAACGTCATTGCCGCTCAATATGTCATTCAAGACGCTCTATGAAAAGGACCCAACCGGTGCAGTGGTGCGTAGTCGATGAAATTTCAGTAACTTTGGCTCCAACTCCGATTCCGGTATCCAATTATCGACTCCGACTCCTCCGGGCAGAACTGTCAATTCACACAGACTCCGACTCTGACTCCGCCTGCAGCCCTGGTAAGTCTGTGGAGTGATGACTTTTCGGTGACGTTCGAATCATACTCGGGCTACAGCTTTTAAAAATCAACCGACTCCGAGTCGGAACAGAACCGCTGGCTCTGACTACAACTTCGCAGCCCTGGCCCAAGATAGCTGCCTAAAACAACTTTTATGTGTGATCTTCTTCGTACATTGTTAATGCTATTTTAAACAAGGGGTGGAAAAGGGAGACGAAGCCTTTGCAAACAAGGATCTCCTGTTGCGAATCAATCAGCTGCTGGAAAAGAAAGGCATAAACACCACGCATCTCATTTCATCGTTTTCCTAACAGCTCTGCACCAATGTAAGCACCGATCAATGCAGTGCGAGCATCGATGTGACATTTGTGTACCAAGTTTGAGTGTTATCCGCCCAGCCGTTCTTGAGATATGGAAGCGGCACACCGCACGTGCGCACGTGCAGTAGCACCCCCATAGTGACACATGGAAATGCATTGGCCACTGGGTGCCTAACTATTGACGAAGTTTTACTGTAATTGGCCCAGCCATTGCGGAGTTACTTTATGTGGAACAATTTCGACACCCCTAAGTTGGCACGTGACACGTGCCGTAACATTAACTAAGATGAAGAAAATCGGGCGTAATTCGGGGAAGAAGGAATGAACCTACCAAATATGTAAGTGACATATTGTCAAACTGCTGTACCATTGTGAGTAAATGACCATATAAAAGGTCGTACAAGCCGATGTGACTGGGCGTTTCAATACACACCGTCTTACGCATTTTATTTTCGTTATTACCTAAAGACTGCTTGACGTTTTTCGCTTTCAAGCATTTAAGACGTTTTTTGTCGTCTCAGGTCCAGTAAGATTACCTCCAACTCGTGGGAATATGCACTTCAAGCCAACTAACACACCACACCCACGTGTGTCATAATGCTGAGAGATGGCGTTCACTCGGCTTGCTCCTAACTTACGATAATTCTCTCGCTAGATGGCAGGCCTGATCCCAATGTCGCGGATCCCAATGTTAATTTCCACGAGACACCAATCCAGTGTTATATCATCCATGAAGCTACCCTCCCTTCAGACAGTTGGGATTAGAAAAGAACTAGTTTAACCAGAACCTGGAGGTTTCAAAAAAGGACAGAACAAAGTGTTAGTTGAGCAGAAAATGTGAAAACTGAAGAATAGCTGTTAACACCAACAATTCAGAATGTTTCAAATATAGTAGTAGAACAATTAATTTCAAAGTCAGCCAAGCTGTAGCCCGAATTACAAAAAGTCATATCAATAATTATCCCCACCCTGCCTGCTGCCAGCTGCCTAGGCTTCCCCAAATTATACAGCCAATGAGCAGCAGGAGACAAATAGGTCTTACAGATATTTTGTAGAAGCATCTCTTGCCCAAGCAGGAGATGCTTGTCTTCTTTGTCCTGGCTCTTCTTGCCTTGCTGCCATGTTCTTTTCAATCAGCTATACCTGAAAAATAAAGTTACTCATTTTCATTAGGCACTTGTAACTTTGGTATTATTAGTTGTAACATTTACAATATTTTCATCTGTTAGCTTAGAAAACAGTTGTTAAGTGAGACTGAAGAGTCATGTCTTAATAGTCTGTGTGCCCCATCAAAGACTTTTCAATACAAGTCGGAGTACCACCAACAATAACTTTTACCCACTACCCAGTGAAAGTCCGTTAAAACAATTTCAAATAAAACAGTTGTGTTAAAAAACAATAGATTACAACACTCTTTCAAACAGAATGCTTAATGCTATAAGGGACACAGTTCCGATCAGCGTCCCAGAATAACTTTCAAGCTGAAAGGTCCAGTGGAAACTGCAGACCAAAACAAGCAAAAGGGTTGAAACTTGAACTTTGAGCATGAGAAGTGTGTTTTCTTACCCTCATCTTAGGGTTAACTTGTAATTTAAGGATGATATTGAGGGTTACACAGAGGAGCAGTAGGTACGGATTAGCACTGAAAGCCTGTCTGTGAGTGTGAGGCTGTAATACATCACCTCATTTATTCTTTTTAGCTTAAGAATGACATGAATTTATGGTGCCAATTTCAAAAAGGAAAAAAGAGGAATATCTATCCTGACTGGATGCACTTCGCAGTTTGCATCAGACTTTCTCATTACATGGCTTAGGTTGGTTGAGGTTGCTACGCCTCAGCACCCCAAGGCCCGGTTCAGCTTACTTCAGCTCAGACAAAGGCTCAATCTATAATAGTAAGCAAAGGCCACAGATTGTGGCGAAAAATATTTTGATGAATAAACTTAAATTGACAAAATTTCTCGCAAATTTTCCACCGTCAAAATCACACTCTGACTCAACTCGTGAAGAAAAACATTCGCCGCCCCTAGATGAAATTGACCCCGCGTTCGATGTCTCTCGGACGGCGAAGATTCTACGTCGTCCGGCCAATCCCATTCAAGGTCAGCGGGGGCTCGGCTGCTGTTATGGAACGTGATTGGCCGAACGGCGTAGAATCTTTGCCGTCCGAGAGACATCGAACGCGGGGTCAATGACATAATGTATTAGCTGCGCCATTCTCGGCATAATTTGGAAGCAAATGCTAGGCTGCCATATACACTTAGATACGAAAAATTTCGGTAATAGTAAAGTAATCTCAGTTTCACGCATTTCAGTAAACGGTAATCTTGGTTTCATGCACATACATCGTCGTGTCGTCGTCACACACAACGTGTTGCACTACGTCATACTCGCAGGCCTAAAATGATAGCCATAGACAGCTCATGGGTAAGAACTAAGTAGAAAATATGCATAGGCATGAGAATGCTAGTCCAAGCTTCAGGCAGCAAAAGCGTGGCCCAAGGAAACTCGGAGGCCCAGGGCCATGAGGCTATGGGGCCTTGCTTAAAGGGACCCTCCCACCTTAACATTAGATTTGAGTTGAGATAGCCAAAATGGGGTCCCTGGCTCACAATTACCGGTTTCGGCACTTACAACATCGAGAAATGCCTTAAATCGGAAATATTGAATTTCAAAATTGCAGCATTTTGATTCAGAGGGGCTAATGCTTAGGAATACCCCTCTGAATGTGTGACGTCAGCGCATATATCTAACGATTTTTAAATGTTAGACTAAAACGTTTTGTAGCACGCGGTGGTATATGCTATTTGCGCGCAACATCTGCCGCAAACGCCGCACTTCTAAAATAAAGTCGCTAGAAACAGCGGAGATCCCAAAAAAGTAAACAAAAGTAAAAGTCTAATATCTTGAAAACCGGTGAATAATTTTCGGTGAAATTTGGTAGATATTCGTTTTCGCTCTTTCTGAACCCAGCGACATCACTTTCATGTCAATTCATAAACTTTTTTGAAGGTGGGAGGGTCCCTTTAAGCACCTGAGAATGCTTACCTTTCCGCGATATCGGCTTGGCCCAGGCGCGTAACCACGAGTTTGAAGTTACTGGGGACCACATGGAGGGCCACGAAGACCAAATATTATATTTCAGGATCAGCCTTGGTCCGAGTGGGGTGGGGGGGGGGCAGAGGGGGGGGGGGCGTTTTTGGCCACACCTGCCAGTTTTTTTTTTTTTGTTGGGCGTGTAAGGAAAAGCCGCGGCGCGCACCGTCGCGAAACTTGGTAGGTATAGCCTATGATACCTCAATTTCGCATCGTGTGTGAAAATTTCGACCGCCGGTCACCTATAAGGTGAGGTCACCAGGTCAAGTAAAGTAGCCATGCCTCTAGAAAACTTTGTGACTGTCATTCCTACAGTTTACATCCCAGAAGTTTGAAACTCAAACTTTTGCATGAGGAAATCAGTATGAACAATCGTCTCAAAATTTTCACATCGGTGACCTAATGTCAGGTCAATTTTGAGACCTCTTCGTTATAAGTCATTGGGAAAAATTGAAATGCTTTTCTTTTGGCCGAAAACACATTCAAACACCGTGACACAGGTAAACACTGAACCGGAAAATTGCCCCTTGTGACCCCTTCTATGCCCCTGAGGTCATCTCCAGGTCATGAAACATCTGCAACAGTTTTTAATTATAACTTTAGGTAGAAACATGCTAGAGCCCTTAAAACACCATGAATGGGTTCAGCTCAACAACACCAATCGAATGACATGCAACATGACCTTTTCCGTGACCTTGACCAGGGGTCAAATTTTCATGTTGACCTTTTCAGTTAAATTTATAATTCATTCGACGCGTCTCGACGAGACAAACGCGATGCCGGTAAAATCAGCGTCATACAAGTTTTGAGTCAAAAGTTATGATCCAAAAACCTTTTCCGCAAAAACGCCAACCTGGAAGCTAAACCGTTGACCTTAGGTCAAATCTGAGAACATTAATCAGAAAGGCATTCAAAAGAGCTATCGAATGCGCTTTCCCGCAGCAATGCAGCTCTATCGGTTCCTGACTTATGCGCCGATTTGTGAAAAGTTGTCAAAATTGGCAACAAACGTTCGTGAAAATTTTACCTTTGGTGACCTCCAGTGACCTCATCGCTGAACCGATTAAAATTGACAGAAGTAATTCTGAAAGACACTGTAGCGAGCTATATGTTGCTTTTTACCGCGTCTTTCTAGCTTGCTTACTTTCCGAGATTATCTGGTGCGGCCAAAAAGCCCCCCCCCCCTCCCCCCCACCATGGCGAAGTTGGCCGAGAGGCCCACCCGGGCGCTGGCTAAACAAAATATCCATAGTTTTGTCTTTTTTACTACCTACATATTACTCTTCACGTCGATTTAGAGACAACAGTTGGCAGCAAATTAAGGAGGTCTTCGGTTTTACTGGGGACGGTCCCCAGTAACCTAAAAGTTACTGGGGACCGGTCCCCAGTGTCCCCAGTGGTGGTTACGCGCCTGGCTTGGCCCCTCACAGACGAGCGTTGAACTGCTGGGCCTTCAGTGCACCAGCGCTAGTCCTCAGAGGTCTCCATAGCGAGGCCCTCTGATCCTGGATGGCTTGGGCCTCTTGGACTATCAGAGGCCGGTATGAGCAGTGGGACCTCAAAGATCGACGCGGGCCATCAAAGTCTTGTTGGGTCAGAGGCTGTCAGTCAAAGGCCGATATGGAGCCCTCAATGAGACCAACATAGAGGCTAGCGTAGGAACGGGCGCAGGGTGACTGTTTAGGTAGGTGCGTATGTACAGTCTGTCTTAAAAGTACCGCGCAAAGTGACGGTGGATCCATCAAGCCTGACCGAGGAAGGGCCTGCTATAATTTGAAAGTCACCGAACCAATGGAGCTGGGGAATGGACGAGGATGTCCATTGCTTCGGTGACTCAAATTTGGCAGTCCTTCATCGGTCAGGCTTGATGGATCCACCGTCACTTTGCGCGGTACTTTTAAGACAGACTGTACATACCTACAATCTACATATAACCTACCTAATGTGCCTGTACTTTTAGGGACTGTCTTTGTGCCCTCAAATACTTAACCCTCGCCGGCACAGGCCATTTTGCGTCCTTCGACGGCACAAGAAGGGGGGGATTGGTGCGACCCGGTTGACCTTTCAGGTCAGTTTAACGACCCAAAAGTCGGGAAAATCGGGACCTGTTAGAACGTCGTAATGTGTGGCTGCTGATAGGTTTTTCGGGGTGCTTATCACAAATATCATGTTAGTTTTGATCACAGATGCATTTAGGCCAGGTCAGGTTAGTTCAACCAGTAGGGGTCCTACAACAACAAGTCAACAAGGTTCGTAACAAGTCAACCGCTTCTGAGTTCTGACAGCTTCGTAACATGTTACGAAGGTACCAAAACTAGTTCGTAAATGTTCAGATGGTTGCTAAATTCGAATTCAACTCCAAAAACGAGCCGAGGTCATCAAAGGTCAATGACCTGGCCTGACCTTCAGATGACCTTTACACCCACCCTAATGCATGGGACCAACAGCATATCACATATTTGAACGCTTGAAACCACGAAAAACTGCAAACTCGCGGCTAATACGGGCCGACATACCTACGCCGAATCGCGATTCCGGCCAAACATGGTCTCGAGAAATAGGTCACAGGTCAAAGGTCATCTGAGTCAGGGTCACATAATTTTCAGGGTAGGTGTAAAATTGATTAACTCGAGGGTAATGAAAGTTTCGTCGTGGTCAGCCGCTTTTTACGCGACTTACCTTCGAAAAACTTAAGGGGGGTTATATCAACCCCTCGGCCTCTGCCAGCGACGGTTAAGTTGACGTCAACCGTTTACTATATATTAAACCGCGTGTAGGTAGAACCATAGACCTCTGTATACAGACCTCCATTAGACCTGCAGACCTCCGTTACGAGCCTCACATTTTGTATATCTCGGATTTTTCCTAAAGGTAATATGAGATCAGGTCGGTCACGTCATCTCACCATTAGGCATAAGTTAATGGGGAAAAATGAGAACTGCTATTTTGGCGCCGAGAACGATCTCAAATCATCTCCAGCACACGGAATCGTAACTTCATGCACTCCTTGCAAGGCCCAATGCTTTCCTTTTGCAGTGTTGACCTTGCATGACGTAATTTATGACGTCACTATGGTCATAAGTTTTTCGTAAAAAGCTTTCGAGCAAATTGAGCTAACGAGTCTGGAAAGCCACCAATAGATTCATAAAGACCAGCCAAATCGAATGATGTGCGACATGACCTCCTTCGACCAAGTTCGTGACCTGGGGCCTGGGGGCCTGACCGTGACTCGAGGTCAACACCTAAAGTTGACCTCACACAAACAAAAAGTAAACAATTCGACGCACCTGAGCAAGTCAAACACGATGCTGTCAAAATCGCGGCTCTGCGACCATTTTTTACGAAGTTATTCGCCAAAAACCGAGCCCGTACCTTGGGCCACTTGACCTGACCTCAGAGGTCACCGGTTGACCTGAGACCTTAAACTCGCGTAGGTACCAATCACTGCGTCTTGTAACGGCGCACACGCTCTTTTTTCGCGACGCTCTAGCTCTATTAGGGGCGAAACGGCGAGGGGGGTCGTACCCGCCCCCCCCCCCGGCCGGCGCGTATATAGAAAACCAATAGTTCCGGCGAGGTTTGGTACACCGTGCAATATATATATATATATATATATATATATATATATATATATATATATATATATATATATATATATATATATATATATATATATATATATATATAGGTATATATATATATATATATATATATATATATATATATATATATATATATATATATATATATATATATATATATATATGCAAGTTTTGTTAAACACAACA